TATTGAATTTTAAGTCAAAATGGTCTTCCGTTAATTTTGGTGTTAAGTGGGTGTTAAAATGAGGGGTAAAACTGGTAATTTAGGATTTTCACTATAGGCAAAGGACTACTTTGGATGCAATTAAAAGTCAAAGGACCAATTTGAACTATCTAGTTAATATTTTAAAAGAAAATTTCATTTTTATGAACTATCTAGTTAATATAATCTAAAAGTTTCAATTTGTATTATCGTATTTAAATTAATACAAAATACTTAGAGTTGATCTAATTAAATTAAAAAGTATTTATAAATATAATATTAATAGCAATGATATACAATTTATTACAACCATTTTATATTTTATTATAAATATTCTTTTATCACTTTTTGAAGTTTTTTATTTTATTTTTCGCCTCCACTAACTAACATTTTTTGTTCTACCCCTATAAACCAATATTGTATTTTTGTAATAGATAGTGATTTTTTTTATTATTATCTTTTTTAACTGTTTGTATTTAACTATTGTCTTTTTTTTCTATTTTTTTTTCAATAAGCAATGGTTTATGTTTGTTGTCCATTTGGTTGTAATTTTTCACAATAGTTTTGTCACTATATGTATGTCTATTTATGATCATAGAAAATCAAAATCGAAATACATAATGTCAAGCATTCCTGAATAATAAAAAGTTACCAAGACTATGTGGTCTAATGGTACCCGGGTTGTACAAGTATATATAAGTACTAGGCTAACAATCAAAATTATTATTCTAAGTTATTTTTTTAAAAAATAATTTTCTAGCTAACAATTAAAGTAAAAAAGATTGTTTATTTAGAAAATAAAAAGAAGTACAAGATTAACCCATTTTAATCAAAATGAGTACAAATCATATTTGAACTATAAAGAGAAAATTTCTAAAATGATCTTCCGACTATGACCTTTTCTCAAATTGGTCTTTTGACTTTTAATTGCACCCAAAGTAGTCCTTTGACTATAATGAAATCCCTAAATTACCAGTTTTACCCCTCATTTAACACTCACTTAACACCAAAACTAACAGAGAACTATTTTGACTTAAAATTCAATAGTCGGAGGATCACTCTGAGTGCAATTAAAAGTCAATGAACCAATTTGAGAAAAGACCATAGTCGAATGACCATTTTGGGAATTAACTCATAATTGAACATTGAAGTGCAAGTAAATTGTGTTAAAAGTGCAAGTAACAGTTTCATATAGTGCATCTAAGTGCAAGTAAAATGTATTAAAAGTGCTCTAAAATGTATTTAAGTGCAACAAATAATGTACATTGAGCATCAATATTAGGTGTAACTAACGTTATCATTAGTTGCACCAAACGTTATTATTAATTGCACCAAACGTTATCATTAGTTGCACCAAACGTTATTATTAATTGCACCAAACGTTATCATTAAGTGCACCAATGTGAAAGACGTTATCATTAGGTGTACCAATGTTAACAAGGTAAATTACTTGCACTATTTAGTGAAAATGGTTGCACTTTAAGTGATTTTACTTGCACTTTTTACTTGCAAATTTGCACCAGTTACTTGCACTTTTAACACATGTTACTTGCACCAATGTTTGAGTTATTTATGAAAATTCCACCACGTCATTTTTTAAAATTACATCTAATTCGTTAAATATGGACACGTGGACGACAATGATTTGTTCTTAGTTCTTTTCTAGACACTCGCTCTCACCTGAGCGCGCATATATATATATATATATATATATATATATATATATATATATATATATATATATATATATATATATATATATATATATATATATAAGATCATATGAGAACATGTGCTTAGGTGAGAACGTGAGAACACATCATATGCATCAATTGGTCTAGATTAGATTAAGTGTGTGCGAGAGCGCATTAAATGTGTGCACACGCGATTAAGTGTACGTGTTTGCACACATTTAATGCGCGTTCGCACACACTTAATCTAATCTAGAGTCTAGACCATTTAAAAATATTAGATGGATGCACATGATATGTTCTCACGTTCTCACATAAGCACATGTTCTCACTGGAACCCTACCCTATATATATATATATATATATATATATATATATATATATATATATATATATATATATATATATATATATATATATATATATATATATATATATATATATATATATATATATATATATATATATATATATATATATATATATATATATATATATATATATATATATATATACACACATTATTTATTTATTTAAAGTAATAATCAAATGAGACCACATATTCTCGTGAGACCTTCATAAATGCACACAAGCAACTACACAAATGCATACGGACTAGATTGTGTGCAATTTGCCCAACATGAATGCATTACAAGCTAACCTTGTGTGCATTCATATAGTAGCTTTTGTGCATTTACGAAGGGTTTCACCAAATTTACTGGAATAGGTGGATTTACTTGAATATTAGCCTATGTATGTATGTATGTATGTATGTGGGTGTGTGTATATATAATGGAGGATATTTATATTGTTTAAATGTAATTATATTATATTTTTTAAATGTCAAAAATCTTGTAGTCAAGTGGTATAACTGTGACTTTTCTAAATGGAAGGTTTCAAGTTTGAATCTTAATAAGGATATTGACACTGTTTTTGTGCTTCAGGAGATATTATATTCCTTAAGTTATTTAAATACAAAAATACAATCTTAGAGTCAATTAACAGAATAGGGGAAATGGAAACTATTGGGAGAAATTAGAAAAATATTCCAATTGCACATATTTTGTGTGTTTGATGATTCAATTGACACATCTTTCAAATATAGTGACTTAATTACATAGTATATGTTCAATAATTTATTTAACATTTTTTACAATAATGGAATAAAATTCTTATTTTATTTCTTAAATATTTCATTCTCTATGAAAAATGTTGATTAGATTGTTTACTTAAAAATCACAACATTATAAATTCGACTCTTTAGTTAATAGTTTATACACACTTTTTTTTAAAAGAAGAACTTAATTCATTGAATCAGAAACGAGAACATAGCAAGATATTCAGGAGAGCTATCATATCACTCCCTGCAATCTGACATTGAAACGGCAGCCCAAGCAATAGTATGGACAAAACGATTCACAGATCGCTTAACAAAACCAAAGTCTACTCCATTTAACATAGAGGCAACTTCTTTAATATCATCTACTAAAAACCAAAAGTGGAATAAAAAGAATTCGCACTAAAAGCAAAATAAAGTAATTGAGAATCTGTTTCAATGTCTACGTTCCCAAGACCGGTATCTTTGAACCAGCTAAAAGTTTAATACACACTTTTAAATCGTGATATTTCGTGAATAAACATGCTATGATATTAAATTAACAATAGTTGTATCAATCTAATGTTATTATCGGGTCGTTATATCGTGCACCGCGGTGCATAATCGATTATGCACCGTGCGTCAGACACTATAGTGTGTCTAAATCGACACTGACTCACGTATTATTTTTATATTATTAAATGAAATTACACTTATATCAAAATGATACTACAATATATATAAAATGAAACTGAATAACATTTCACATATTTGAGTGTATATTGTACAATGAAACTGTAATTATATTCAAATGATCATGTAGTTGTGTTTTAATGAAACTATAGTGTATATAAAATAAAATTGAATAACATTTTCACATATTTGAGTGTATAAATATTGAATGTAGTTATATCGAAATGAAACTGTAATTGTGTTGAACTGAAACTGCAGTGTATACAAAATGAAACTGAAGAACAGAATTATTTTTTTGCGAAGATTCTGTTCTTTTCACTAAATAAAACGACGTCGTTTTGACAATATCGATTTAGACATACTGTAGTGTCTGGCGCACGGTGCGTAATCGATTATGTACCACGGTGCACGATATAATTTGCAGCTATTGTCATACCCGGCCTAAGAGCATCCACATCAGCTGGAAAGATTTAGGAGTTATTTGTGGGCCCCAGCATCCACCTCATTCTCCACTATCTCACTCAATCACAAATAACTCTTCTCCACATCAGTTTGAGATATTTAGGAGTTATTTGTGGACCCCACCATTTAACTCACTATATTTTAATTATTTCTTTATCTATTTTATTTATAAATTTATATTTTATTTCTTTCTCTATTTTACTCCAACATGCCTACGAAATTGTTAAAAAATAATTAAATAAAAGGATAATTAAAGTTAATTACTTAAAATAAATTAAAGTACATAAAAATTAAAATACAAAGCAAATAAAAATACATTGAAGTACATAATAATTAATACATTGAGAATTTTGGGGACATGGTTGAGAAAAAGGAAAATTGGATTGTGAATTTTGATTGGAAGTATTGTCTTTTTCCATTATGATAAAAGAAATTGAGTAGAAATTGAAAGAATTATAGAAATGAATTGTGAGAGTGGGATAAAATGTAAAAAAATTGTGAAGACATGTGATATTTATAGATGAATATATATTATATTTTTTTTTTATTTAAAGTATCCGTTGCCAGCAACGGTCGGAAATGTGACCGTTGCCGGCAACCGATACAAATCTGGCCGTTGCTCGGCCAGCAACGGCCAGATTTGTATTAAATGAGAGTGGCCGTCAGCTGGCGGCCACTCTCAATCGCCCAGCCGGGCGCGTGTCGCACACGCGCCAGGCTGGGTGGTCAGTGAGACGCAATTGCGTCTCACTGCTTCTCACTGCTTTATTGTTTTTTTTTTTTTTTTTTTTTTTTTTTTTTTTCTGACAATCTCCCTACATTTGCAGGGAGATTATTTTTCAATTATCTCATGAAGGGAAGATTTAATTCTGAATTCTCCCCACAATATCCACAAGTGTGGATGCTCTAAGTGTTTCAATTTTATAGCTCTCCCAAACTGGTGGCTAATCGAGGGCTAACACGTGACAGCAGCCTAACTAACTAACACCAATTGTTGGCAAATGTTCTAGTCGCCTCTGCATTTAATTAATTAATAAGCCTTCAGTCTTCGTTACTTTATGGTGCATGAATGAGCGGGCAAGTAGAAGATGACGAAGAATTTGATGTACCTCCATCTGACTTTTTGGGAGAAGAAGATGAGGAACAAGGTATACATAGCTGTCTTATTCTTTGAGATAATCGCCAATCTCATTCATCCAAATGCTCTCTTTTGTCTCAATCCCCCCTCCCAGTATATGTTAATACAAAATCCTCTGTTTGCTTCTTTGGAGAGAGAATGGCTGTGGGAAAGCAGAAAATTTGTCGGCATTAAAATAATCATTGAAAGCTGAAAAGGGGAGGAGCAGAGGATCGTCAATTGCCGGAAGAGTAAGCATTGATTATTAGGTGTTTGATAAAAGTTTTAGATTTGCTTTTGAAACATTAGTGAGTGATTTGGGGCCTGGGGGGAAGGGAAATGGCAACGCCGGTTGGGCCACCGAACGGTATTATGGCTTACGGGAAGCATTACTTCAGAATGTGGGAAACGATTTTTGAAGTGGATAGCAAGTACGTTCCGATGAAGGCAATAGGTAGAGGTGCTTACGGCGTGGTGTGTTCGGCGGTGAACAGAGAGAGCGGCGAGAGGGTGGCGATCAAGAAGATCAATGACGTGTTTGGGAATAGAATGGATGCGCTTAGAAGTCTTAGAGAGTTGCAGCTTTTGCGTCACATTAGGCACGAGAACGTGATCGCTTTGAAGGATGTTATGATGCCCAGCAATCGGAGTAGTTTCACAGATTTGTATTTGGTTTATGAGTTGATGGATACTGATCTTCATCATATCATAAAGTCCTCTCAGCCGCTCACAAATGATCATTGCAAGTATTTCCTTTTCCAGGTAATTAACATCTCTAACTCTAACCTAAGGGGCCTCACGTTCAGGGAGGACCTAAATCCAATTGTTATACCATAGACAAGTGTTTATGTTGCATTATGAATCCTGTCAAAAAATTATGCTTATGTCAAACTATGTCGAGTTTTGAATCTTGATCTTTTCTTTAAACTCAGGTCCTTCGGGGGTTGGAATATCTTCACTCAGCAAACGTTCTCCACCGGGATTTGAAGCCTGGGAACATCCTTGTCAATGCTAACTGTGATCTGAAAATATGTGACTTTGGACTGGCTAGAACAGCAAGCGGGGACAATAATGGACAGTTGATGACTGAATATGTAGTCACTCGCTGGTACCGAGCACCAGAACTGCTTCTTTGCTGTGATAATTACGGAACCTCCATTGATGTATGGTCTGTTGGGTGCATATTCGCGGAGATTCTTGGCAGGAAACCACTCTTTCCAGGAACTGATTGCCTCACTCAGCTCAAACTTATCATCACTCTTCTTGGCACCCAACCTGAAGCTCATCTTCAGTTTATTGACAACCCAAAGGCTAAGAGGTTTATAAGATCACTTCCTTTGTCCAGAGGACCTCACTTCTCTTCTCTGTTCCCTCAAGCAGATCCTTTGGCGTTAGATTTGTTGCAGAAGATGCTTGTTTTTGATCCATCCAAGAGAATCACTGTTTCACAAGCTCTCTATCACCCTTACTTGACTGGCCTTTATGATCCAATCCAAAATCCTCCTGCCCAATTTCCTCTCCATCTTGATGTCGACGACAGTGCCAGAGATCTAGCAGTTATTAGGCAGATGATGCTGAGAGAAATCATGCATTACCATCCTCCACCTGCTCCTGCATATGTCAACAACTTTTACTAACTTTTCAATTCACAAGATAACAAAGCTAGGGTGATCAAATCTCAGGAGAATCTTCATATCTGGAATACTTATGTGGAATTACTTATAAATAAATGTTCTGTATTAACGATGTGTGTCGGTCAAGTTCAGCCCTGCTTGATTTGAGAAGGAAGTGGTTAAATGGTTAATGTCCTACTACTTATCACCAATTAGTTTTAAGAATGATAACTAAAGAAGTATAGCATTTGATTATTAGAATTATTTTATAATTTTGTATTTAATTATGGAACAGTTTTCCTCTCTTTAAACTCAAGATTTTGTTTAAGCTTCTGAATTATCAAGATTGCTTTTCTTTTTTCATTATCTTTGTTGGTAGTTTTGCCTAAGCTGCAAAACTACTTTCATTGCTCGTAATTAGTCTACTGGCAACAAATTTGTCCTACATTCCTTATCCATGCCATGTGTTTATTATATTACAGCTAAGGTATCTGAAAAAGGAAACTATAACATATCCAAATAATTTGCTTCTTGATAATTGATATTCATGTACTACATATAACTTAGCTAACCATATAACATGCTGATAATGCTCATAACCAGAGAGCTGTATCATTATTTATTCCTTTTGACACTGTATGTCAGAGAGGGGATTTTTTGCATGATGGGAATCCCGCAGCCACTATTTAAGGACAAACCCTGTCTTGTGATCCTAGTCGACAAAGAACAACAAGGAGATAAACCAGCTTAGATTGTCCATAGCTGACTGGCTCAAACTAAAAAAGCTTATAGGCAGCTCTCGCAGCGAGTCGAACTTGTAATCCTATAGTTACCAATTAACTCAACCGTCTAACCAATTTGGTTGGGTTGCCTCTAGAGTGTAGGAAAGTATAAACCTATATATATATATGGTAGGGAATATCCCGACCGACATAAGCTCCACCACGACCGACTTGCCTTTGTCTATGTCTTTTAGTCTTTGCAGGTAGCAGGTCGGGCTTTCCATGAAGACCCCGGTCGGGAGGCGACCGGGAATTGCCCGAGCGCTGGTGTCGACCACCGAGCGGTAGCCCTTTGGCGAGAGAGCTGGCAAAAGGACACGTGGCGGCTCTTCACGACGACAGACAGGGCACCCGGGAGGATGACACGTGGTGGCTATGTGGAGGACATGCCGAACGGCTGGAATCCTATCACCGGCATAGCGGCTATAAATACCCACAGTAGCTACAGTGTAAGGGACTTTTGGACGATCGATAGGTTGTTGTTAGAGAATCCCGACCGCACTCAGTCGGTACTCAGAGCAACCAAGTAGATTGTACTTAGGGCCTTTACCGTGATCAATAAAGTCTTTTATTTGCTTTAAACGATCTCGGGTTATTTTATATTGCTTGCGTATAATTAGCAGTATCATTTTGGCGCCGTCCGTGGGGACCTGTGCAACAAAGCTACGTCTTGACGAGCACTCGGCCTCTTTACAACAATGTATCCGTGGGCATACAACAACTTCGCCGACGACCAAGCGAATGCGGCGAGCTCATCTGACCATCACGCTACCCAACAGCAAGGTCAGACGGTCGATCTAAACCTCAACCTCTCGCCACCGCATCCATCAAACACATACCCGGCCGCCCAACAGCCGGTGAACTACATACAACCGGGATATCAGACGCCCGGTCAGCAATACCCGCAACCGATGATGTATCCCGGTCAGTATCCGTACCCGGTTCCACCTCAACCGTATGGGTATTGGCCAGGCCAACCGATGTACTATACTCCTCCGGTTGGCTACCCACCGTTCACGCCTGCGTACACGGCTCCAGCCGCCGCCCCTCCAGTATACCCGGCCGCTCAGGTAGAGCCGCAGCGTCAGCCCACTTCTCGGGCTCGACGCTCGGCTTGTTCGCGGTTGGGGTCGGGGGGTGCTGTTGCGATGGAGGCACCACGGCAGGCCCAGCAAGCAGAAGAGGTTCTCGCCCAAGCGGAGGACCCCGAAGAAGTTGCCCGAGCGGTAGCTTTTGACCGTCTTCGACCGGAAATGCGGCAAAGATTGGGACCCCAAGATCCGAATCGCCAATCGGAAGACGTGCACATGCAGGACGCTAGTCAGGAGGCTTCATCCGGGCATAGCGGGTCGAGATCACACCGACGGCGACGCGCTCGGGAAACAGCCCAAGCCGTCCAAACCGCCGAGCTCAACGAAACCCGAGGATTGCTCTATAACCTCCAGGCGAAAGTTGCGCAGCTCAGGAATGCGTACCCTGCAACACCCCCGGTCAACCAATCGACTCTGCACCAGACGCCTTTCGCAGCAGCGGTAATGGCCCAGCCTTACCCGCTCGACTTGAAGGTCTCTGGAGAGAAGAGTTATGACGGACGGGCAGACCCTGAAGCCCATGTGAATGATTTTTACAGCAACATGATGATGAAGGGCGTTTCAGACGCCGTAATGTGTAGGGCATTCTACTCTACGCTCACCAGTCGAGCAGCAGAATGGTTTCGGACCTTACAACCGGGCTCGATCGACAGATTTGACACGTTGGCGATCAAGTTTGTGAGGAAATTCATTACTTCCAAAGTGGTGAGAAAGTCCTATATGTATCTTGAGAAGGCCAAGCAGCTAGAAGGGGAAAGCTTGACCGATTTCCTCGTCAAGTGGAAGGCAGCGGTCGGGGAGGTCGAGCCTATGGACGATGCGACCGCCACCCATATGCTCCACATATCTCTCCGGGCGGGACATTTGTATCAAGACTTCATCCTTCACCCCCCGACCAGTTATGAGGAGGCCCTTCGGAGGGTCACAGATTATGCCAACGCCGGCGAGGCGAATGCCGTAAAGCGCTTGCAGGAGGTCGGCTCTTCGTCCCGTAAACCGGCCGGCCGGGCGGAACATCGGTCGGGAGATGACAATCCCCGATCCCGCATTAGGCCTGGCGAGTTTACGGCCTTGAATCGATCCGCAGCGGAGGCCATGCAGTACGCCCAGTCCTGCAATCTCATCAAACTCCCCCATCCCGATCGAGACGGCCCGGACAAGAGTAAGCATTGTGCTTACCATCGATGCGCTGGGCATGACACCGAGGAGTGTACCCACTTGCGCCAATTGTTGGAAGATCTGCTTAACATGGGAAAATTGGACAAGTGCGTGGGGAAGAGAGAAGACAATAAGAGGAATACCGATCGGCGAGATCACAGGCGTTCTCATCACCGCTCCGATCGATCAGGTCAGGACCGAAGAGACGATCGAAGGGACGATCGTCATGATGACCGACGGGACCCTGACCCTCTGTCTGGTAGCCGCCCGTCCGGAAAGCCAACCATCCATGTCATTTTTGGTGGGCTGGAAGATGCTTCCCGACCGCGGACCAATTGCCCGGTCGCTATAGTGGATTCCCGGGAGACCGGGAAGAGGCAGAAGATGGAGCCCATAACCTTCACCGTTGAAGACCAACCTAGCAGCAGTGACCACGGCATGGAGGCGCTCGTGGTCACGATTGACGTTAAGGGGACAGACGTCCAGAGGGTTATGGTCGATACGGGCAGCAGTGTGAACGTCCTATACTTGGACGTCTTTGAGAAGCTTGGCCTCGACAGGAAGGAGCTGACTCCGGTCGGTGTACCACTGTCAGGATTTACCGGGGCTCTTATTTACCCCGAGGGAAAAATAACGCTCCCGGTCGAGATCGGCACACCTCCAAAGTCGATCAAAACGGAGCTGGAATTTGTTGTGGTCAACCTCCATTGCGTCCACAACATAATCTTGGGCCGACCCGCCATTATGAAGATCGGTGGGATAATTTCTATGCCCCACCTGTGCATGAAATTCCCCACCCCCAATGGGGTCGGTGTGGTCCGTGGCGATGTCCAATCCGCCCGGAAATGTTACACCTGAGCGGTTAATAGACGCGACTCCGGTTCATCTTCCCGGGTGAACACCATAGCCAAGGAGGAGGCTAAGGATCGGAAGGAACAACCTGAGCCTTCCGAAGAAACAGAAGAGGTTCCCCTGTCCGAGGACCGCCCGGATAGGAAGATCAAGATTGGCCGAGCCCTCACCCCCGAGCTTCGAGCGAAAGTTTTGGCCATACTCCGGGAGTATGCTGATATCTTTGCGTGGGGGCCTGAAGACATGCCCGGGATCGATCGATCGGTCATCTGCCACAAATTGGCCGTCGATCCCACAGCCAAGCCGGTCGTGCAGAAAACACGACACCTTTCCTCCGATCGCCGCGAATTTGTTAGAGAAGAAGTCAAAAAAATGGCGGCGATCGAGCACATCCGTCCGGTGGTTTATCCCGAGTGGGTGGCAAATATCGTTCTTGTTCCTAAGCCCCCAGCATGGAGGATGTGCATCGATTTTACGGACCTCAACAAGGCCTGTCCGCTCGACCCGTATCCTCTACCGAGTATTCACCAGATGGTCGACGAGACGGCCGGGGCCGAATTAATGAGCTTCATGGATGCTTTCAAGGGGTACCATCAGATCATGATGCACCATGAAGACGAGAGCAAGACAGCCTTCGTGACCCCGGACGGGCTGTATTGTTAGCGAGTGATGCCGTTCGGCCTCCGGAACGCAGGAGCGACCTACCAGAGGATGGTCAACATGCTCTTTGCCGATCTATTGGGCCGAACGATGGAAGCTTACATCGATGACATGTTGGTCAAGAGTCGGGACCGATCCGACCACACTCGGGATCTCCGGGAGTGCTTCCAGATCATGAGGAAGTACCAGTTGCGGCTGAACCCGACCAAGTGCACATTCGCGGTTCAGACTGGCAAGTTCCTCGGCTATATGATGACCAAGAGAGGAATTGAGCCCAACCCGGCCAAAGTAAAAGCGATTCTGGACATGCAACCACCTTCCACCGTTCGGGAAGTCCAGCAATTGACCGGTCGGTTGGCAGCCCTCAGCCGGTTCCTCTCCAAGCTAGCCGAGCGCGCTTTACCTTTCTTCAAGGTATTGCGGAAGGTTAATGGATTCGTCTGGGACGAAGAGTGCCGAGCGGCTTTTGATGAGCTGAAGGAATATCTCATGTCACCGATCGTGCTCTCAAAGCCTGAGCTCGGAGAAGAGCTAGACGTGTACCTCGCCGTGTCCGATCGCGCAGTAAGCGCAGTGTTGTGCCGAACCGATCCGGAAGGGGTCCAGCGACCGGTGTACTATGTAAGCCACGCGCTACATGGTCCTGAGCTCCGGTACTCCCGGCTAGAGAAGGTCGTCTACGCCTTATACATTGCCGCGAAGAAGTTGGCTCCCTACTTCCAAGGTTGAGCAATTCGCGTGTTGACCGATCAGCCGATCGGGCCAGTCCTCCGAACCGCTTCATCATCCGGCCGCCTAGTCAAGTGGGCGTTAATGCTGA